GCCTCTGCTGACAAAATACAAGCTTTGGAAAGTCCATGACCATTCGACCACCGTTCTATTTACAATGAATCGGAAATGATGTAGAAGGAAGTGGTCGTGGCCTAATTAATTTCGGCCCTTCCCGAATGCGATGCATAGGCTAATCACCCGGTTAATGCAATCGAGGACAATGTAAGATCCGTTCGTTTAAACTTTAAACTCCTCCTACCTATCAACATTTAACACATAATTTTGAAACACAAGACAGTGAAGTTTCTCGATTTCTGAAGAATTTCCATTTATAAGCGGGCCAATCATGCATACAAGGTTCACGGAACCATGTCCTCACCCGTCACTCTAGATACATATCTATGTATTACATTCTCTACATTTTCAGCATACTAATGGATTTTCTCTTAGCGCCCTCTTAATGCATAACAAAGTAACGGAACTCTGTTCTATAGCAGGCTAAGGGAGCGCATTATTTCTTACCTGCAGGCCGCATGGATCTACTCTGAAACGCTAACATTCCTAACTCGGATAATATAATCTGTAGTTAAAAAGAACTCTCGAGATTATTCGAACTGGTTGAACATATTTTACATGTGCCAAAAAACATATAAATTCCATTATTATGAGTTTCTTGCACAAATTGCACGAAAAGAACGCACATAGGGCTGGCCATGTTTGTCTGTCCGTTTCGGATATCCCTGTGTACGGACTTTAGAACTAATCATATAGGATTAGCCACGTCTGTCAGCATATACGGGTGGCTACCTCGAGAATCCTGGTAACCAAGGCAACCATGTTCAACATAACCGTGGTAATCATGTTGCCCAAGGCAACTTTGGTAACCAAGGTAAATATAGTAACCATATAAATCGAAGTTGTTTTTGTTTGTTAGTCATCAGTCTTTCGACTGGTTTGATGTGGTCCTCCAATTTCGCCTATCTTGCGCCAATCTCTTCATTTCCACATATTTTTTACAGACCACGTCCTCAAAATCTGCGTCACATATTCCAATCTTTGTCTCCCCTTACAATTTTTCCCTTCAACTGTTCCTTCCATTACCAAATTAACCAATCCTGGGTGCCTCAGAATGTGTCCCACCATCGTAAGATTGTTCCATAGACTTCTTCCTTCGCCTGTCGTGTCTAAGACCAGCTCATTTCGTACTTAATCAGTCCACTTAATACAGTAGCTAAGGTAAACAAGGTAACCCTGCCAACCAAGCTGACTGTGGTAGCCGAGATGATAACCCTTCTACTATGCGATCGCTAACTGAAGCTGTTTAAACGCTACATATACGAGGAAGCCATGACACAGAATCCAGTTCTTTTTCTGTTTGCGAGAAACAATAATGTGGTTGAGTGGAAAATTGGAAGATTACGTTGTATTGTCAGTGAGGCGTCGGTTGTTGTAGTTGGTGGTAGAACTGAGGCTGTTAAACGAGCCATGAAGATGGCTGTACGACGTGATAGCGTTACAGCGGGGAAAACTATGGAACTCCATAAACGCTTTCATTTCAAGCTTTGTGCACGTTACATAATGGCATACAGTGTTGATACACTGGGTTGGCTGACCAGAGGTGGTAGGGGAACATTAGTGAAAACAGATGTAGTTATCCATGTGTGTTTATGTAATAGGATTAGGCCATTAATTGTATAGACTGTGTTTGATCAAAGACTAAGGGGAAAACAGATTTTTTTAATTCAGGGATTGATCTATAATCATAATTGGACACGTTCAGAATTTGGAACATCTTGACATTATTCTCTGAAAGGAGTACATAAAGATTACATTTAGGGTTGCAGGTCCACTTAAAATTGTTAAGTTTTACGAAAACTTTACTTACATTCAAAATTCAAATTCTGCTAACAACGCATAAGGAAACTGTACGAAACACTTCTTTCCGTATTTATTTAATAATTAATTAGGCGAAGACATTTTAAAACATGATTGGTGTTCTAAAGCCGTTAAGACACTTAGTTATTAAATCGAATCTGGAGTTATACTTGAGTTTTAGATGCAGCCAACTGACATGAAATAAGATTGCATTTATACTAATTTTCTTAAACTCTTTGATTATTAACCAATTTAATTACTTTTATGATTGCAGTTCTGTCTCTATGCTATATCTGTAAAAAATAATAAATGGTTATATTATTAATATTGTGCCCTAATACAGCTGCAGACCGTAGTTTGTTGGCAGTCCAAATTGCTAAATGTAGTGAAACTTTCTTCTTACGTTCCTACAGCGCAGGAAACTATAGGCCAATATCTTCTTTAGCAAGAAACGTTTGTAACATGTGCGGCTTCTGTTGACCGGTTGATGGAGACAAGTGGATGCACAACAAATAAACAGGGGTTTACGCTTCAAACCACAAGGACACATACATAACCATAGGTTTACACAGGATTCAGTTCAGTCGAGCATGATGACATCACCCGTGGCGTTTCGGTCCTCAGAAACCATTTGCCGACTGTGAACAGTCGTGTTACACCTTAATGGAGCACAATAATAATACCGCTACTCTAGGCCTATCTGTCATTAAACTAACTAAATATGACTTAATGACCTGGGTTGAATTCCCGGTAGAGGTACGAATTCTTTTTTACGTCATTGTGAGACAACCCAGTCTTTATAAAATAGATATTTTCATTTCTCTCTCCGGGTAAAGCAATCTGAGGCAAGTCTTAGTACTGGCCTTAACTGAATGTTGAGGTTAAGAACGTATTGAGTGTTAATTAAGCACAGAAAGAACCGTGTCTATATACAACTCAGTTACAATAGACGCATTAGGCAATTCTTTATGTCAGAGGCTGCTGAAGTCTGAAGGTTTCTGACTATGGCACGTTATAATCTGTAAACGCTGTTTTTAGACTTTTTCCATTGTCTGTATTTCAATAAAATTACGTTTCAGAAGATGGATCATCTTCCGTCTTTATGTAAAAGACGAATGAGCGAAACCCTAGCTGTCGGGTTCCCTAGTTGTCAGATATGGATGGTCCAAGAATATTTGGATAAGCACTACACGAAGATGGTTGTCTGTCCTATTTCTAAATAGTTTCGCTACTTATGAGAGAGATAATTAAAGCTAAACAGATTAATAAACTCTGTGAAACTATAAAGCGCACATTGAAAGTAAAATATCACAAGCAAATTACTTTATATCTGTTCTGTAACTACCCATTTACGACTCAAAATGTTGGAAAATAACAAAAGAACAAATTAGAGGAGGGGCGGCTAAAATGCGTTTCTTAAGCTCGTTCAAAACATAAAGAATGTTATATCAAAAACGTAATAAAGATATTAGAGAAGAAATGCGTATAACAGACCTTAAATGCGACTATAAATAAGTATAAAGAAATTATAACATCTGGAAAGGATGTCTGTACGAATCTCGAAGTTACTTTTTCAGTAGGAATTCCAACAAAAAAATATCAAACAATTATAATCCTTGTAATTCGGTTTACATCCGTGACGATGATAAATGTGCTTCTGGTAACTAGTTGTGATGTTATTTCAATCCTTTTAACATGAATAGACCAAGAGACAAAATCCGTCAATGTTTATTAATGTTTATGATAATAAACTACATTGTTTCTATTATTCACAGTGACATCGCCATCTAAGTTACATATTATAAACAACTTTTACAACATTAATCTCAGGGATTCTAACCCCCCTGGAAGGTCAAAGTATGTGATTTAGGTAAAGGCCTTTTGATGGGCCGACCCCTCGTATAAGAAATTCAGTTTCAAATTATTTTTTTATCTAAACAGGCTAAAGAAAGGTCTGATGCCTGAAAGCTAATGAGGAATAATGATAAATATTATTATATTGCAGAACTGCATATGAATTTTGCTGTGCGGCTCCCGATTTTATCGGTAACACATCCGACTGTCTATATACTGACCTACATAAGAAGCTGAGTTATCGACTCAAGGAACAGTCAAAGTTTCCCGACAGGAAACCGGATGGCGACTGATCTCCGAACGAACATCGATCCTAGTTGTCTGATGCCCATCGTCAGACTAGATCTGACATTAAAATCCTACTGTGTATAGGAGAACACAAATGGCAGGTATTTGGAAAACATTTTCTTCCAACTGTGTGTACTTGCTAAAAGTACTCCTATGTGTCTTTGTTAGCATTATTTCTCCGGCATCAAGGCCTTTTAAAACCAAAAATAATTGTATTTTTAAGCAAATTCTTTTGTGATAGTTTTAAGGTTTTATTCTTAATTTCACTGACGAACTCCTTACAGCCTGCCATTGATATTGTACTCTAATTTTAACAATATTTTTATATTAACGATAAAATTACTTTTTTTTAACGTATATGAACAGGTCCCAGTCCGAGAAAAGGATGGAAGGATCCTGTTCATATGGACCTGTCGTCAGACAGAACACTAAATAATAATAATAATAATAACACGGATAGCTGATTCTGGCTCGCTTCAAGAAATAAACAGTTTTTATGAATTTTCATTCCCCAATCAACACTTTTCAACTAGCAAAAGAATTTCTAAATTATTTATGGTTTTACTGACACGATGGCAGGCGTTCTTTTCAGTCTTGCATACTTTCTGCCCACAAACGTTTCTCTGTCTGAATATTTAGACCCAGTTTTCTTATAACATACTTTGGTACGATCGGTTACATTTTTAAGAAATTATGTCAGTATAATGAAATAATAATGACTGGTATTCTGATCTCTTCAGTAGAAATAGTACAAATTTAGTTTTATTTGTGGCAAGTATAATCTCAGGTCTTTTCTGCTCTACAATGCCGGAGAAAGGGGAACGTGTATTTTCTTCTGCCTACTCTACAATGCCGGAGAAAGGGGAACGTATGTTTTCTTCTGCCTGTCGCAGTATGAACACTGGGGCAACGATTCAATTACAATTTAGTTATGAATTCAATTTGGTTTCTTCGCCGACGAAATATCAACATCATAAATTCTGGAATGCAACTGATACTTTCTGGAAAACTGAATATTTTCAAAAGTGACTTACCGAGCTGGAACTGGCTGGAGAAATTATGGTGAGGTTGCTCTATTCTTTTTTATCTTTGATCTGAAGAACAACACTCATTCTGCAAAGAAACAGAAATTAGTAATCAACCTGTTATGACGTGTCTGTGTGTTCAATAAATATAATTCTTCTAAAAATGACTGTTAATAAATCAACGCTAAATGTAAAATTTAAATTGAATCCAGTAGTTATCAAGGTGTTCGACTAGTTTCTAAGCTGATTTGGAGCATTAAAACATTTTAATAAGTTATTTTACGAAGTGCGTAAAATTATCTCATATTGGGCGGGTTGTAGCATGTTTCATTGCCGAATCTACTAAAATGATTTGTATGAAATTCGATATTCGGAATAACTATGATTGTGAGTAGTGCTATTATATAATGCCTTTTCCATTAACGTTCATACATAGAGTAATTGTGTTCAATGTACATTGAAATCAAATCAAATAATGCGCAAGATCGCAAAATAGGCATTTGGAAAACCCATATATTCCAAATCCAGCAATGCCCGTCAATGTTGGTAAGCTCTGAAGATGGAGGCAGTATGTTCAACCGAAATGTTGGTGTGTATCTTGGCGTCCATATTAGGTTACAGCCTACAGATCAATATCGACATTCTCACCGCTATGAGAATATCTAATTTCTAGAATCTTGGTTGGAGTTCTATGTTTAATTGTAATTTATTTGAACTACGTTCAAATCACGAGACAAATTTAGATACTGAATATTTCCTTGGGGGTCTGAAGTATATTTATCTCGGTCATTCGTAAAAACCTGCAAAATTAAAAGAGTTGTGTGGTTTCGTATATAACCATTTCTCCAGTACGTAAGTGTCAGTAATTGAAAAATGGTTTCATAATTGGAATATAAAGAATATATTCTGAGTCAGAAATCCAGTCAGTAACGCAGAAACGCGAATGCCCGAGCCTAGTTCTGCCAACACACATTTCAACGGTAGCAATATCACAATCCGCTATTTGACATGTCCCTGAGCATATTCCTCCCACCTCGCATCCTATTTACATATGAACCAGATTAATGTTGCCTTCTCATCTTCCAGTTGGTAAATTTTCATGAGATGTCCTCCAGTAAAATTCTGCATGACTTTCATGTCTCCACATACTGTCACATGTTCAGATCCCTGTAACCTACATCGGAATTTGATTAAGGTTTTAAATTAAATAAATGTAAATTGTATATACTTCATATATTTAAAATCTAATATCGCAGGTATCCATAAAATACAGTATAAGAAATTCAATAAAACTACAAGATTTTATTCGTTGCTTTAAACCGCATGAAAATAATAACTTCATTATAAGTTCTTACTAGTACATAAAAGGAATGGTCTTTACTACTTTTATGAAAGGCGGTAAAAATTATCTCTGTTTAATCTTCTACACAAATTACGGTTTTTAAAAGATTTTGTCACATTTTATAAGCACCCTGAGGCAGTCAACGGAAGTTAACAAAGTGTTCGTTTAAACTAAAATTTTCATTTACCACTTTCTTGCGTCTTAACACAACGAAATAAAGAAATCATAAATTATTATACCTATCCAACTTAAGAACTGTGTACCGAAATTCTGGGAGCTACTGTTCTCTTATCTGATAAAAATACAAAAATCATCCACTATTTTTATTTTAAAAATGTCATTTAGAAGTACAAAACATAACAAAATTTTCGATACTCAGTTTTAGGTATCCTGTAAATATCAGCTTATAAACCACAATCTTTGTTTCTGAAGATATAATATAATACTTAATGCCTGCACTTTAAATATTTCCTCGATACACCATTTAAGGAATGCGCGGTGAGACAGTGGCGGCAGAGAGATTGTTATAATCTCTGTTTTATGAAGGACCCCAGTGTTAAACATATTGCATAAATTAAACTCTCATTTTTCGGTGGACTAGTTTATTTATAAAATATTCGACAAAACTTGTCTGCTCGTTTGCAGAGTCCACGCTACACAGAACAATCTGTATTAAAAATTAAAATAGAGCTAGAACAAAATTGGTAGTGTTAACATATGAATGATATAACTACTGAATATAACCACCAGCTACAAAACAAGGTTAGCATTAATGCATGATAACAAACAGCAAAACAAGGAAGCTGTGACGAAGTCCGAAACGAACCAGAAAATACACCGGATGAACACACAAGAGTTTTCCACTTTCAAAATCACACAGAAAATAAATGCAGCTTATTTAGAATTTCAGACTTACACCATCCGACAGAAAAAAACTTAAAGTTTTGTACACACGGCACAGAGACTCGATATGTGCTTCGCAAGTCACACGACACTGCCGACGATAATCGACCTCGCCCCAAAAATTGTGCAAAGTGTCCCTAAAGATAGAAGCTATGGCAATTGTGATTCGCTGCCTCAACTCTGGCAAAGATTGAGGCGTAATTCGAACCCTGGCTGAGTGGTTCCATGTGAAATTGTGTGCGAAATGTGCATAGAACAGATGTCACAGGCTCTTCCTTCGCTAAATGCAGAACACAGCAACTCCTCTGTTGTGGGTTAGCCATTTTCAAAACTAGTAGCATCTAGTGGATGTGCGGAACAACAATAACCCGGATCATTTGTAACCAAACTTTGAGACTTTTTCTATCATCTGGTGTGAACGCGAAGTTCTAAGCACACCGCATTTGTTTTCTGTATAATTTTGAAAGTGTACGGTATTTCGTGCTCGCTCTGTATATGGGACATTATAGTCTCCTGATAGACACCACCACAGAAGACATACTATCGCGTAAGTGTAATCGAAAAGTTGCTATCATAATTCAAATAAACAGTAAATTTGCTGTTTAAACAAAGGTTTACTCAACAGATTAAACACTTATATTTAAATAAAATAAGTCAAATATTATGATGCTTGGTGTGGTGAAAAACATGTACATCACTCTTATTAAGACTTAAATTCCGTTGTTGATATACGAAGTGAATAAAGTGAACGCATATTCCATATCCAAAACTGGAATGTATCTCAAATCTTTTCAAAATATTTAAACATTCATGATTGAAAATTCTGAAATTGTATGTCATCGGAATATGTGAGTAAGGAAAAGTTTATAAATAACGTATCTTACATCTTCCAACATTATTTCCACATGTACAACATTATTAATTTGAACTCGCATTTCGTCCAAGTACGTCCACGGAGATAATATTATAAATTCTAAGCAAGAATTTGGTCGAAATGTTTCCACAGAGGCAATTTTAACAATTTTTAACAAGCACTGTGTAAAAGAAACTTCCATACTGGCATAGTTAACAATTTCCTACTCGCATATCCTCAATAGATTTCAAAGCACGCAAATTTACTGAACGTGCACTCTCGTGTAAACGAAATATACAGGAAATTGTAAATTATTAATATTGCCGAACCGCGTTTCGTTCCTATTCCTACTCACTCCTCTTAAACACGATTTTTGGGAACAAATCCATCGATATGAAATAATACCTTTACATTCTTCAAATTTCGAAATGAACATATTCAAGCAAACCCATGGTCTCTCCTCACACCAGCGTTCCACAACCGATATGCAGCCACGTTTTATAAAAAGCAGCATATTCGCACATTATAGTCACTAAAAGTCAAGATCTTGTCTTCAGCAAATAGATATTCATAATATACCTCCGCAAACACTGGTTCATCATCGATAGTTTTATTAAATATGTGCGTTCTTACAGGGCAAAGATTTATATGTGAAATATATTTGTGGTCATATACGAGGTGCGATCGGAAAGTTTAAACACTGTGACAATAGAGGGCGAACCGGATGTAGTACGAGCTTCTGCCTTTAGGGGGTGCGGCCTACATTCATAGTGAATTAGTGTGCCAGCCGGCATGATCGAATTAACATTTGTTTCTTAGTTACGGGCGTTTTGGTAGTGCATTACACCGACCCTCCTGCGATTTCGGAATGGCGTGTGCATCAAATTTTGCCAAAGACTCGCCAAAACGGCTACAGAAACCTATGAAATGCTAAAGCAAGCATTTGGGGAGTCCGCAATGGGTCGTGCACAAACGTTTGTGTGGCATTCACGTTTTAAAAAGGGCCGGCCGAACCTCTGTCGATGATGACGAGAGTTCTGGACGACCATCTTCGAGCACAACGCCCGAAAATGTTACGAAGATCGAAGTCGTACCATCAACGACCCAGCTTCCTTTCTAAGCTCCGTGTGACTTCTTCCTCTTTCCAAAGATGAAAATTCAGCTAAAGGTAAGGAGATTTGAGACGATAGAAGAGATTCAGGCAGAATCGCAGATGGTGCTTGACAGGCTGACAAAGAAAGATTTCCAGGGATGCTTCCAGGCTTGGCAGCGGCGCTGGGATCGTTGTGTTCACTCCCAGGGGAACTACTTCGAGGGTGATGAATGAATTTAATACCTGAGATAAGTGTACGGGTTTTTATAGGCGCAGTCTGGAAACCTTCCTATCGCACCTCGTATAGTCTTGTAAATTCTTGTGCGAAATTGTGTGGTGTGTAATTTACAAATTAGGCTGTGCCGCGTGTGTGAGTGAATAAAAGGTTGCAAAACGCAACCTTAGAGTCTGTTTTACGTCATGTTACACGTACAAGATTTCATTAAAACACCTTTCTAACTAAATTTAATTTTGCTCGCTATCCTGACACAATCTAAATAATTATATTAATGGAGCCAGCCAACTCAGTACTCGATTATTATATATATATCGATTCAGCAAACCGCTGATAGCGTGCATTTATGTCTGTACACACAGAGAAATCACATATAAAATTTATTCTGTGCGATGTGACAAACTACAATGGGCATTGTTAGATCTAAACATGGTGGCAGGTGGTATTCACGTATGGAAACAAAATCCGTCTTAAAAAGCTGATAGTCACTCAGCTGGTCGAGAAACGCCCCGCCGTTTATGAAACCCGGAAGTTGATTATCGTGTTCGTGAGATCAAACTACTGGTTTAAGTCAGACACGTCCGGTTCCATCATACCCTATTTATTAACGATCCCGTTTAATATTATCCTCCGATATTTGACTGCAACTCCTCGAAAAAGCC